CCTGGGGGTGGGGCTGACTCTGCCTGACCACAAGCCCTGCTAGGCCTGTAGGGTGCCCAGCCCAGCCCAGACACGGTGTCATCAGCACTGCTGACGTTGCCACATGGAGCCCTGGATGTCCCAGAGCTAAGGAAGGAGTCGGTGATTCCTGAAGTTCCGTGGCGCCCAGTGGAGACCTGGGCCTGGGTTTCGGGCTCTGAGGGGATGTATGAAGTGAGTTGGGTGACTCACGGCCCTCACCATTTCCTGCCATTAGAGCCACTGGCCCCAGGCTCTCTGGCGCTGCAGGAATTGGTGGGTACCCTGCTTTCTCATGACAGCTGAGTCAGAGCCCCCAAGGCCCCTCCTCCACCCACCTGGGGGTCCAGGATCCTCCCCTGGGTGCCAGGGGCACAGGAAGGGGTAGTGGGTGACCTGGGAGATCCTAGAGGGGTGAGTTAATACAAGAAGCTGAGAGGACTCAACGGCTGGTGAGAACTCTGACTTCTAGAACAGCACCTGTAAACAAAAAGTGCCTAATAGATGTTTTTTCAACGAAGGAGTGAATGAATGAAAACCTTGGATCCAGATTTGGCTTCCTGTGACTTTACTGCGTCATCTGGGGTATATCATTACACTTCTCTGAGCCTTGGTTTACCCAGCTGGACAATTAAGAGGTTGGACTGATGATCTGGAGGGGCCCTTCTAGCTTGAAGCTGAGGGTTCTGGGGGGCAGATGGCACTGTCCCTGGGGTGCTCAGTAGTGCTGGGAGTGGAGAAAGGCCACAGGGCAGGCCATGCAGAGAGCTAGGCTCTGCTGATCTTCCCTCCCTCCTGCCACGGCTGTTCTAGGTGAGCTCAAGCGTAGGCTGTGTGTGTGTGTGTGGGGGGGTCCCCCAGAGTGGGAGAGCCCATAGCTGGTGTCAGCCATCATGGGAGCAGCCCAGAACCCACTCTGACTGGTCACAAGGCCTGAGGCAGGCGGGTTCCATGCCCCGATGGTGCCAAGGCTCACCTGTGCCCAGGTAGCTCATCCTTGTGGGCATCAACTGCCTTCCCTAACCAGAGTAATTCCCTCCACCGCCCTCCTGACTCTCCAATCCATAAATAGTCAATGCTGAAGTCTCAAACGAATGGCCCGAGGGGCAGGTCTGACTTACAAATGAATTCTGCTTGACCCATAGTGTTCTGTTTTCAAGAACTGTTCAGTTTGAATGTGTTGCCCAAAGCAGGCTCTTTGCCACAGTTGCCTCTCCTCCCTATTGTCTTGGACCTGGCAGCTTCACACATCTGTGTTAGCTGCCTGATGCCTGAAGGCATCTGAGTTGGGAAACTCTGGTCTAGCTTAACAACCCCAGTCTGTGAACAGGGAGACTGGAGAGGGGGCTCTAGGTTAATGGAATCCTAGATTATCTGAGGTTGGAAGAGGCCCTGAGATCACCAAGGTCTCATTTTCAGATCTCTGCTCCAATATCATTTCCCCAGACAGGCCTTCCCTGATCAGCCTACTCAGAACAGCCACCCGTGCACTCTTCCCCTTTACCCTGTGCTGTTTATCCTTGTCACTTCCTGACATCCCAGGCTCCAGCCTGCCGGTTTATTCCCTGTCTCTCTTGCTGCTCTGTATGCCCGATGAGGGCAGGGACTTGGTTTGTCTTATTTACTGTTGTATCCCCAGTGCCAAGAATAATGCCTGGCACATGGTAGGTGCTCAAAAAAATCGTTGAAGAATGGGGAAAATGAGGCCCTGGACATGGTAGCCCCAGCACCAGATACCCTGTCTGCTACGGTTTCCCTGGGTTGTTCTAGGAACATTCTAGAGTCGTCTTAGAGTCCCATGGACACCCAACAGATGGCAGGCCTCTACTCCTGCACGGGGCTGATTTGAGGCTTCCCAGGGAAGGCCATCCCAGCCATTTGTTCTACCTGCCAAAGTGGAGGGGGCAATGATGTCACCCGGCCCCCCCACCCCTGCTCCTCTCAAATCTGGCCCATCAAGCCTGGAATCCCAAGTTCAAATAGACCACAGCATGGGCGTGCAGGATGTGCCTTTTGCGGGTTGTGGGCAGGGCAGGGGCCCGGGTACGTCATGGTGTCTTACAAGAAATGTTCCCAGAGCAGGAAGACAGGGGAAGGGAGGCAGGGAGCAAACAGCAGAGGGTGGGCAGGGAGGCCGAGAGCGGGAAATGCTTCTTATTTTTCCTCGAAGAGAGACTATTTTTTTCCAATAGTAAAGATATTTGCTCACAAAAACTGTTTAAACATTACACAGAAGCATGAGGAAGAAGATAAAAAGGACCTGATATTCTACCTCCCAGGGATCTAGTCAACAATTACAAGCCCATCTAGGGTCAGACGGCCTGGGCTCAAATCTTGGCTTGACCACTTTCCGGCTACGGACCTTGAGAGGGTCCCTTCTCTGTGCCTCAGTTTTTTCATCTGTAAAATGGGGATGCACTGATGTTCCTCTCAGCCACTGCCTGCTATTCCCTTCCTTTTTCCTTCGGCTCTGAGGACATTTCTTTTAAGACACCATAACCTGCCCACAACCCACAACCCAGATAGCTACACACCCATGCTGTGATCTGTTTGAGCTTGGGGTTTCAGGCTTAATCAGTACCTGCCACCTAGTATTGTTGTGAGATTAAATAAGTGAATGCATGGAAGGGGCTTAGAACAGTGCCTGCCACACAGTGGAGGCTATATACGTGTTTGCTAGCATCTCTTCGTCATTGCCATCATTGTCATCATCACCATGGTTGTCATCATTACCATTATTGTCATCATCATCACCATTATCATCATCATCTTTGCAAGCAGCTCTTTACACACCAACCGTTCTTCCTCCCTCTTTCTCATCTATCCGCTCATCCACCCGTCCATCCATTCTTCCATCCATCATCCATCCATCCATCCATCCATCCATCCATCCATCC